TTATGATTGTAAGTCCAAATCATGGTGTTAAAATCCTTAATTTGGATTGAAAGTGAGTTTTGGTGTTTTAAGCTTGATTTTGACAAAACACCCATGGATTCATTATGGATTCATAATTTGACTATGTTAATATTTTGTAATTTAGTTGTTTAAACGGATCCATAAAATCTAATTAATCATCCTACGTCGTTAGAAATTGAACTGAAATTATTAAAAGTGAACTAGATGAGTTTTTTAGAGAGTCTTTTGCGATTTAAACCCGATTTTGTGTGTAACAAATAGGTCACGTGACCATGTAACTAGCCTACTGCAATTCCAACATAACCGACCTTATGTCCTTAATATTAAAGATATATCTATCGACATAACAAGTTGGTAACAATACTAATAAATATATAGGTCTATTGGGTTGCACCCATAAGTACAATCTAAAAACAAGAATAATGAATGAAAGGATTAGACATGTTGAATTATGAATTGATGACATAGAAGAATATAAACAAAGATCATTTAATTTAAATGTCAAATTGTATGGAAATTGATCTTAATGAAAACATTGCTTAAAAGCATGGATCTTGACACACCATGCTAATGCAACCATTATGGTGGTTTTGCGACAATTGTTGTTGTTGGGAAAAGTGTTTTTGCTGATGGTGCAACATATTTGTAACAACCCAGATCTCTATATGGCATCGATGTTAGTGTTCCATTAAGTTTGAGTCTTAAACTAACATTTTCATTTGTTTATATTTAACTTTGGTAGGCCAAAGTGTAATAAAATGAACTTTGATCAAGTATATAGTTCTAGGAGTCATTTTGTGATACTTTGAGAGGAAATTATGGAAGTTATGGGGTATTTAAGTGAGGATGACCCTATAATAAGGGTTTGTGACCATATTTTCAACCAACATCATCTATTTGGAGTGTGTTCGTGTGATGTTTCCTTTCATGTTAATCTAGTGTGATTCAAGTGAAGAAAAGTTGCATTCTTTAAGGATTTTGGTGGTATAGTGATTGGCTTCTTCTCCATACCTTTTTCCTTTTTGTCATACGAAGTTCTAGGAGGTAAGAGCATATTCCTCAATTAATTTTTCTGTTTTGGTTCAATAGGATTTGGAGTTGTTGATTTTATGAACAAGCATTGTGATTTTGGCAAAACTTAGAAAACAACATTGTAGACCTGTCTTGTGGGGACTATAGAGGCCATTATGTTTCGAATTAGACAAAATCACCAAAAGAACAAAGGTACGGAGAATCAAGTCTAGTTTCCAGAAAATATGATATCATCACGTTTGGAGCTGCGGATTTTGTTTTATGCTAAAAACACTAAACATGTATAAAGCTGGGAAATTCTATAACTACTGTATAAATGATTGTTGACCAAATGGG